ATTTCTGTGTGCCACACCCCGTTATGCTAGTTTGTACTTTCGAGCCATTTTACTGCTGGACACTGCTTCCAATCACAATATATCACCCAATAAAGGAAGGAATCATTCATGGAAAAACTTCCTTCTTGGGATATCACTAATCAAAATTCTCTTGGAAATTCTACCCTGAAGCTACTGCTTCAGTTTGAGTCCCTGCTTCCTGTCTTTAGAATAGTCACTCAAAGCATAACCAGGATGTGGGTAACTTCTGACTAGTTCAGGAAGACTCTTAACTGTAGTTGTCCCAACATATTTTTTTGCCACTAGTGTTACCAAGATACTCAGAGACAAATAAGATCCAAATTATTAACCTCTCTTCCAAAAAGGATGAACTCCATATAGGAAAAAACTGAGCCACCAAGTCTGTTTTCCTAATAATCAACAGATCTCTGTCTTGTCTAGATTTAAGTTCAGCTTGTTCATTCTCAACCAGCCCATTACTGAACGTAGGAAATGGTCAAAAGGATGTTTTTCATTTTCTTGGGAATTGGATTACAAAGAGCAATAGCTGGCATGTCTTTGGTACTTCATTCCAAAGTGCTGGTCATTGCCTCCCAGGTGTAAATATTAAATGGGACAGGCAACAGAATGTGATGATCACTATAAGCCAACAAGTATTAAATATTAGTGTCCCCCCCCCCCAAAAAAAAACAGCTTTTGGACATGATTTGAAAGAATAGACCAGAAGTGATTCAAAATAGCATCCCTAAGGTATAACATAATTCAAGTTAATGCTATAATAGGTCATGCTAACAACTGCAAGAGATTCAAGAGGAGGAATGGTTGCTGGTTGTTCAGCAAACTTTTTATCCACAATGGGCAGTTTTTGTCAGAATCCTGAAATAAATGGCAGTTTCTGACGAAAAAGATTGTAAAATTGTGGTTACATGACCGCAGAATGTTGCAAATGGCTCTAAATGTGAGCTAATTGATGAGCATCCCAAAGGCAATCAAGTGACTGAAGGTTAAGCCCAGCCGCTGGAACTTTGAATCTTGATCGTAAATACCTGTAAATACCTCTTTTTGGGGGTCTTTTGTAATTTGGAATGGTTGCTAAGCAACTGGTTGAAAGTCCAGGACTACCTGAATCAAGGAGTGGAATTCATCAGAAAATGCATGCACAGCCTCAAAAACTACCATCTGAAAAGCATCTAAAATAAGCATCTGAAAGGAAAACTGTCCCAACACTGAATCCAAACTGATCTGATTGACTTTATCGATCAAAAATATGTTTACAGATTGCAAATTATATCCGCAGTACACTTTCATATCTGGTATCCAATTTCGAGAGAATTATAATTTTGGTTTCCTTGTCACTATTTCTACCTCTCTTTTAATTATTCTATTTGGCACACATTTTCTAAATTTCTATACAATATACAGAACTGAAAACAAAAGTTTCAAGATGACTGTGTTTAAAAGCAGAAGTTAGTAGGGATGCCAAGCTGCAGAAATGAAACTTGGAAAGTATGAAATGCATACCATCAATCTGTATTTACTTAATCCCTCATACAGGTGGCCTTGATGCTGAAACATGCTAAATTCCCAAAATGCCAAGGTGTCATTGTTTACTCTTCACAGACCAAGTTTCTTCACATATCTGTGGGATGCCCATGGAAGTGTATAGGTTTTATTATGTCAAATCTTCTATAGGAGAAACAATATATCTTTAAAGTATATAATATTTGGGAATCATAGTTGAACTGTTTTCACTTAGGAATTGTTGGAACAAGTTGTATATCATAGAGATTAGTCTTTGGTATTCACTCTACCAGCATTGCCAACACACATGCACCTCATTCCTTACAGAAAACTTGACCTCATTCCTTACAGAAAACTTGAAAACTTGACCTCATTCCTTACAAAAAATTTGAAAACTGGACCTCATTCCTTACAGAAAACTTGAAAACTTGACCTCATTCCTTACAGAAAACTTGAAAACTTGACCTGGTATCTTCATTTCCGCTGACCTTAAAACATACAGAGCATGTAGAGATCACCACAAATCCATCAATACTCATATTTTTTCCTGTCCAGCCACATCAGTAAGAGGATGCAACCAATTACATGCAACCAGGCATACACCATAGGTATTTTTTGCAATAGCTATGACTTCAGCAGCAAATTGCTACAATGGATGGATTGCAGGCTGAATTCTAAACATATAGGAAAAGCTAGGTATAAGCAAATCTATATGATGAATGGTTGCAAGAATCAGGTATGTCTGGTCTAACTAAGAGACGGAGTATGGATGACATAATAGCAGTGTTCCAATATTTAAGGGGCAGTTACAGAGAAGAGGGGTTGACTTATTCTCCAAAATATCTGAGGGCAGAACAAGAAGTAACGGGTATAAGATTATTAAAGAGAGTGCCAACCTAGAACTGAGAATAAACCTCCTGACAGTTAGAACAATTAATTACTGGAACAGCTTGCCTCCAAACATTGTGGGTGCTCCACCACAGGTGGTTTTCAAGAAGAGATTGTCCTGTTGGAAGAAATATCCTTCTGGTTTCAGTTCCAAGTGGGGAAAAAGTCACTGGAAACATGGAGGCTGTTTGGAAAGATGGTTTAATGGTGGACAGGACCACATGGCTTGAAGCCCCAAAGTGAAAAGGACGATCACATCAGTGGTAGTATTCAGCAGGTTCTGACCAGTTCTGGGGAACCAGTAGTGGACATTTTGAGTAGTTCAGAGAACCAACAAATACCACCTCTGACTGGAGATTTTACAGTATCCTTCCTCTGCCATTCCCACCAAGCCACGCCCACAGAACCAGTAGTAAAAAAAATTTGAATCCCACCACTGGATCACATGCTTCAATATGTCAGGTGAAGGAAAAGAAGGAAAAAGGGGCAAGATGCTGAGAGTGCAATTGCTTTATACCCTCTGTTGGCCCCCACTTTAGAGTTTCCTGTTCCTGTGTAAGAAATGTATCCCATTGGCTGTCAGACTCCCAGGGGCGGGGTCTTAGCTAACTTTGTAGGCTTTGTCTGGACCACATGGCTTCACCTGAGTGCTGGCTGATGCAATCTTCCCAGGCCAGGTGGTGACATGGGTAGAGGCCTTTGTTATGTAGAATATTCTGGCCCAGGCTTTAATGGTCCACCCATTAATAAAGGTGAGGGTGAGCTTCTGCTTCTGAGTTTCTATTTCTCTTTTTAGGGGAAATATTCTGCCTTTTTAATATTTCCTAGGATATCTCATTTTTCTAGGAGAGGGATGGGTGCTAACTTCCTATAATCCAAAATGGGATATTTGTCCAAAATGGTATGGGGTGTCCTGCTGGAGCAGGTGATTGGACTGGAAGACCTCCAAGGTCCCTTCCAACTCAGTTATTTAATGTTATCTATTTTTAAGATGCAGGTTGGAAAGAGGAAAAAGAAAGAGTATAATACATGGTTTGAGACCAAACAGATTCAGAGCAGATTCTGCAATAGTCAATAGATATGCTTTTTGTATGGACGGAACATTTCCAAATAGTTCCAATTACTGACCACCAATGGACTGATGGGACTCTACGCAGCCATTTCATATTTGCAGAAATCCCCATATTAATATTCTCTTATAGAGCTATGCACTACATTTGTTGCCCTCCTCTCTGTCTCACCTTCTGACCGCCATACTACAATGGAGAATTTCTTGAACTAAAAGTCCTGTTACTCAACAAATCAAGCAGTTTAGAAACAGACTGTAAGTTCTAGTCCCTCCTTGGGCCTGAATGGAGCTGAGTGACCCTGATCTAGTCACTTTCTCTCAGCCCTAGAAGGAGGTAAGGGCAAACAAACCACATATGAAAACGTTGCCAAGAAAACCATAGGCATTATTGCAGGCAGCATCAGGAATCCAGACTGCCTTGAAGGCACATATTTAAACAGACTTCAGCTGGGATTACCCTAATTCTAAATCAAAATATGGTATAGTTTGGATTACGCCTGCTGCGCGAGCCCAGTTATTGCTGTTTGTAAACCATGATTTATAGTTTAGCATGCTCTGCCAGTTCAACCAACTGTGATCTAGTCCAGGGGTCTCCAACCTTGGCCACTTTAAGCCTGGCGGACTTCAATTCCCAGAATTCTGAGAGTTGAAGTCCACCAGGCTTAAAGTGGCCAAGATTGGGGACCCCTGATCTAGTCAAGTGGTTGCAAACCAGTGGGCTGCGAGAAAATTGTGGTGGGCCGCAGAGAAATCTCACCCCCAGGGCACCCCCCAAAGCAATTAATCCAGCCTGCGCAGAAACACTAGGCTGCGCCGCCCACATGGCCCATGGAAACCCTTCCCACCCACTTATTCTTACCGGGCAAACTTGCCTGCTAAATTGCTATTTTTCCTCTTTCCAACCATCATCTGTTCTGCCGTGCTGGGAGATTTAGATTAGCTAGGAAGCAGGAAATGGTTGGATTTCTTGCTTTCTGGCTAGTCTTTAGATCTTCGGCTCTGCTTTTAAGCACAGCCGAACCTCCCTTAGGACTGAAGGTTCTATTATTCAGTGCAGTCTCACTGCAAGCAAATTTGAGAGACTGAGTACTGAATGATTCTGTGAGCAACTCAATCTTCCTGCCTGCTTTGCATGATTTTGGGTTAAAGTTGCTCTTTTTTTAATAATAAAATTCAATATTTACATACATGGTGTGTTGTGAGTTAATTTTGTGAGTTTGCTTGCTAGCAAATGTTATGAATTTGCTTGCTAGCAAATGTTATGTGACAGACTGAACTAGCTGATGGCAGATAGATAGATCTCTGAATGAATCTGTGATTCTGTGAGCAACTCAATCTGCCTGCCTGCCTGCTTTGCCTGATTTTGGGTAAAGGTTGCTCTTTTAAAATAAAAAAATCCAACATTTATATAAATATTTATAATATTTATATACAGCCTTGCCCAGACAGCCCCATGGCCACCAAGCCACACCCACAAATTAGGCCACGCCCACAGAACCGGTTAGCGGTCCCTGGGATTTAAAATTATGAAATTAGTGGTCCCTGAGGTCCAAAAGATTGGCGACCCCTGATCTAGTCCATCAGCAAACACAGTCGCTCGGATTCTCTCGCACTCCAGAGAAATAGAGCGCGCAACCCTTGGGCGCCAGGCTGTCCTATCTCTTTAAGAGAGCGTTTCTATACGCGTAGCTCCCAGCCCAGCCCACCCGAGGCGGAAAAGCGAAGTGAACCTTCTGTGTTTCTGATGCTGGAGGATCCTGTTAAAAAAACCGACAACTTTATAGCCTTGCTTCAGTCTGCGAGGACCGTCGCGCTTGCAGGACAGCTGGCCACAAAGCAGGAGCGGCCATGGAGGAAGGTAAATCCCCCCGCCCCCCAGCTCCTTCTGGGACGGAGAGTAGGGCAGGGGATTGAGGGCAACTCTAGGATCTCCCCAGCCATCGCGTCTCTTTCGGGGCTTTTGCTCTTGGTTTGGTCCTTAAAAAGTACAGAAAGTGTGTATACTGCGCGCGATCCTGCCGTGCCCCCCAGCTCAGAGCAACCTGGAAGATATCTCGCGTTTTTAGCCCCGATCTGAATGGCACTTTTCCTTCCCTTGTTGCCCGCTGCTCTGTGGAAACGCAGAAGGTTTGGGAGCAAGGAGGAAGTGCAGCAGGGAGCGTGCTTTGGGGAAAGGAGAAACCCTGCGCTCTCGGGATCCGAGGGGAAGCCTTGCTGCCCCTGTCGGACGCAGAAAGCAGCTCCGATGCAAGGGTGTAGAGCTGTTGGGACTTTCGTTTCCTCTGAACGTTTCCTACAGGCGGCAACATGTACGAAGAGCCGCGGGAGGGCGGGGGACCTCCTGAAGGACGTGAAATTGATGACGTGATGAATGGACCTGTCCGGAATGGGGCAGATGTACAGGTAATAAATACCTTCCTTGCTCAATAACATCCAGGAGCTGAATGGGTTTGGCTCGCTTTATTTATTTGTTTGTTTGTTTGTTTATTTATTTGTATTTTTAGTCAGCGATTATAAGATAACAGGTATAAATATAACATAGTTATGAATACATGAAATGGATACACATAAGAAAAATATAAAAGAAACAATAGGACAGGGACGGTAGGCATGTTGGTGCGCTTATGCACGCCCCTTACAGAGACCTCTTAGGAAAGGGGTGGGGTCAATAGTAGACAGTCTAAGGTTAAAGTTTTTGGGGTTTGGGGAAGAAACCACAGAGTCAGGTAGAGTATTCCAGACATTGACCACTCTGTTGCTGAAGTAGTATTTCCTGCAATCAAGTTTGGTGAGGTTTACCTTGAGTTTGTATCTATTGTTTGCTATTATGTTGTTATGCTTGAAGCTGAAGTATTCATTGACAGGTAGGACATTGCAATATATAATTTTATGTACTAAGATCAGACCGAAGACGGCGTAGTTCTAGGTTTTCTAGGTCTAGAATTTCAAGTCTGGTGGCATAAGGTATTCTGCAACAAGTAGAGGAGTGGAGAAGTCTTCTTGTGAAATATTTCTGGACTTTCTGAACTGTGTTAATATCAGATACGTAATGCGGGTTCCAGACTGATGAGCTGTATTCAAGTATTGGTCTAGGAAATGTTTTGTATGCTCTAGTTAGTAGTGTGATATTACCAGACAAAAAGCTACACAGGATTAGGTTAACAACTCTTAATGCCTTTTTGGCCATGTAGTTACAGTGGGCTCTAGCACTTAGATCATTAGAAATGAGTACTCCAAGATCCTTGACAGAGTTTGGATCATTAACAAGGTCTTGACTATTCAGCTTGTATTTTATTTTCTGAATTATTTTTTGCCAATATGTAGGACAGAGCATTTATTTGTTGAGATTTGAAGTTGCCATTTGTTTGACCATTCTGACACATAGTTGAGGTCTTTTTGAAGGGTAGCAGTATTGTCAGTGGTATTGAATAGCTTTACATCATCAGCGAAGAGAACGCAGTTGCTCTTAATGTGATCACATCACTGCCCACCTCGCCAGCTGCAACTCTGGCTTCAGAAGCTAAGCGAGATGATTTATAGTTGTAGGTTAGTCTGGGTAAGAAGTCATAAAATTATCCCAGAATATGACAACGGAAAAACACTTATACATTGTCGGGAGGAAAATCCACTCACAATATGGATCTATCTGTGAAATCACTCTGTGACTACTTTGGCTTAAAGGTATCTTAGTTTTTTGATAAATCTAAGGTAGACGTCCCCAACATGGTGCTCCTCAGAGATGTGAGTTTTCAGCTTCCATCAGTTGCCAGACTGGAGAAGGTTATTCTGAGGAAATTGTCTTGCATAGGATGTGCTTGTCTCTGTATTCTGTTTGTGTAAAATGTTTACAGAGTTTAAAGAATGTAGCTTTTTGGGGGGGGGGGGAGAAGGACTGTAACAGGTTATATTACCTTCTTCATTCTTATTCTTTCAGAACTAGTGCTGGAAAGATGGAGCCTGCCCAGTCTTACCGTGTGTATGTATGTATGTGTGTATGTATGTATGTATATGGAGTAATATTTTGCAGTATGGCTTTAAACCAGCTTTTCACCACATAAATATGCAATTGTTTCTTACAAGTTGCAGCCTTCTTCAATGCCTTTTTCAGGGAAGCATTTGTTTTAGAGGTGGAATATTCTGTGGCATTTACCCAATGCATAAGCTGCAGTATTTTGTCAAGATGTTGGAAACAAGTCTTTGCTACCTTGATATGTTTATCCCTTTATAAGTACTAGGGGGATATTTCATCCTTTGTTGTAACTAGCACTTTCATGCACCTTCCAAATTTGCTCTGAACATGAGTGGATACAATCCATGCATTTTTTTCCATTTTCACCATTTTTACAGAATGATCATTTCTTGCATACAACATTTAAATACCAGAATGCATCACTTTAAAAGCAACAAAGTGAGATAAAGCTACCATCATCCATAGGCCTATTAGCATGTTACCTAAACAATAAAAAAACCTTTTTAAAAAAAAACAATGGAGTTATTTGCAACCATTAGGGAAACAAATGTACATATATTAGATCTGATGGTGAAATGCCACCTAAGGACTTTTAATTCTTTTAAAACGCAAAGTTTTCTCTGCAGCAATGCCATATGTAGTCTATTTAATAGAAATGATAAACAACATTTTTTAAAAAAATTGAATGAGGCAGTGAAAATTCAATGAAACAAAATAATGATTGGATATAGCCTTTCTTTGGCATCTGTTTCTGGAGAAGCCATCTGCATGTATTGTAATCATACTAAAAGTTTTACCTATACATACATACATATGTACACATGTGCTTGTGTATAAGCTCCTCAACACTTCAAACTACTTGGATTCATTGCATGTCTTCCCCAAAACAGCCTTATATTGGAGAATAGAACTCTTAGAGTGTTACTGATCTTGGGTGTAATCCTAGCTTTGATTGCAGGTCACCTGAGTGGCATTTGTGGAATATGTCTGTGTGTATCTTAATCACTTCACCTAGCATTTTTTCCCAACTCCTTATGATGCTTCTGTCTTCAGCTGGAGGATTTTGTGGGGGCTCATGCAGAATACAATGAAGAAGAAGAAGAGCGAAAGTATTTCCGCCGTAAGCGTCTTGGAGTTGTCAAGAACCTTTTGGCAGCCAGCATAGCAGGAATGCTGACCTATGGGGTTTTTCTAGGTAGGTATTGCAGGAGTTACTGCCATTCTCTCCTTCTGGTTTTTATTTTTATTTTTCTGAGCATCACTATACTTCAGTTCTCACATCATCCAGAACCATAACTTGGCTTGCTTCATTTGGGATTGGTGTGCTGTGAAAACCCAGTCTTTGTGATTTGTAAACCATAATCCGTGATTTACTGAAATGGAGGAACTCAGTGCTGAAGATGGAAGCTTTCTACAGCAACTGAATGATAGACCAAGGGCAAAAAGGATCAGTCCTAGAGTTTCCATGTTGTCTTCCACAGGTCTGCTTCAGATGCAGCTCATCTTGCATTATGATGAGACCTACCGGGAGGTGAAATATAGCAACCTTGGGCTACAGAATATTGATAGCAAAATGCTGTTGGGCATCAGCCTTACACCCCTTGCCGCATTTCTCTATACTCCAATATTTATCAGGTAAAGTTCTGTGTTTGATCAATTTTCTTTCTTTGTTATGTATTCTTTGAACTGTGGTTTTGAAGCTTTAAAAGCTCTAAAGCAGGGGTGTCAAACTCAAGGCCCAAGGGGCGGATCCAGCCCACGGGATGCTTAGATCTGGCCCATGGGGCCACCCTGGAAACAGTGAAGGACCGGTCTGTGATGCCTCTGCCAGAGAAAATGAAGTTGGCAAGGGCCGCGTGCTGCCCTCCCAAGCTCCATTTTTGCTGGCAGAGGGTTGCAGGAGGGTGTCACAGCCGAAAATGGAGCTCGGGAGCCCGTTTTTGCTGGCAGAGTGCTTGGGCCACCACCAGTGCCCTCAACATCGAGTTGGCCATGCCCACTCCAGCCGTGCCCCCCCTGGCCCCCTCAAGGTCAAACACAACCCCAATGAAGTTTGATACCCCTGCTCTAAAGCCAGACATTCACAACATCCAGAATCCAGGCCCTTTTCTTTTATCTTTCCAGATTTTTTGGCACTAAGTGGATGCTGTTCTTGGCAGTGGGCATCTACGCACTCTTTGTCTCCACTAACTACTGGGAGCGCTACTATACTTTGGTACCATCTGCGGTGGCAATTGGGGCTGCCATTGTACCTCTTTGGGCATCTCTGGGCAACTACATTCTCAGGTGAGCCAGATTGCCAAAATTAGGCTGGGAAGGAGAAACAAATACTGTGCTACAAGGCTGGCTTTATCATATTTATTCAACTTTCTGCCAGCTTGATTGGTCTCCTTGGTGGTACTTTTCCCAGACTGAACTATATATTCAGGCTCTTTCACATTCTATAGATGGTAAGTGGGGAGTGGGGAATGAATTACCAACTCTTTGGATGTTTCTGTTATGCGTAAGCAATTCAGGGCTGCTCCCATGTGAAGAAGCGGTACATAGTTTAGCTTAGGCTTTACAGCAGTCTCCTGGGAATAATGGGAAGCTATGCTTTGTCCTGCCAGGCTAACCCATACTCTCTTTTTCTGCACCTCTATTCCAACAGGATGGCACAGAAATACTATGAATATGTGAACTACAAGCTGGAACATGTCCAGGAACAGAAACGAGCACCACGTGGTGCCTACAATTCCTACATCATTATCTTTGAGGCTGTCTTCTATGGCTTCTTCTTTGTGAGAACTCTGCCAACACAAGCTAGTGGGTTTGGGGGAGGAAGAGATGGTAGATAGCACCCTATGCTGTCCTCCCTTGTCAGCTGGGAAATGATAGCTCTATTGCTAAGCTCAACACTTCAGAAAGGTCCTTTGTGTGGCTTTTAATTTCCTTTTCTTCCATTCCTGTTTTCTAGTTGAGTTTTGTCTGTGCCCAGTTTCCTATGTTTTTCTTCTTGAAGAACTATCTCTTCGAGCTAAACCACACACTTTCCGAAGTCAAGACTTGTGGTGAGTAGCTAAGAGGGCTGCTATAATTTGGCCAGGCTGATACAGAATTGGCTTTTCCTTTGGGAAGTCTTAATTACTTGTAGCTCTATCTCATTCTCTTCTCCGCTGCTTGTCCGGCTGGGGCCTCCACTTAACCCAAGATCTCTTCCTTTTCTAGGGACTGCAAGCCATGGGATCCTTGTTGGGTTCAACACCACAGTTCTCCAGAAATTGCCTCGCAGCAGTGAGCTCATCATAGTGGAGAGTGTGCTGATGGCAGTAGCCTTCCTCTCCATGCTTATGGTCTGTGCTGCAAAGATTTGTTTATTTATTTAATAATTTATATGGCCAACCAACTTGCCCATGGTGACTCCAGGTGGCGTACAGCGTGAAAAATCAATAATATTGGTTGGCTAACTTTCTATTTTTAGATAGTGGAATTGCTGGCAAAAGCAATGTCTTCTATAAGACAGCTTCATTCCCATCTGGAATAATCAAAAGTGTCGGTTGATCAACATGTTTCTGTTTTGCATGGGTTAGCAAGACATTCTGATCCCCAAGGCATTACACATCTTCAGGAGGATATATATAAACATAGACACCTAACTAATGGCTATGCTGCTGCACCTTGACAAAAGCTGACATAACCGTTTTTCATATTTATAACCTTTGCAGCATCCCCCATGATCATGTAATCAAAATTCAAATGTTTGGCAACTGGTTCATATTTATGACCATTGCTGTACCCCAAGGTCATGTGATCACCTTTTGCAACTTTCTGACAAGCAATGCAGAAGCCAGATTCACTTAACAACCGTGTTACTAACTTACCAACTGCAGTGATTCACTTAACAACAATGGCAAGAAAAGGCAAAACTCACTTGACAAATGTCTCACTCAGCAACAGAAATGTTGGGCTCAGTTGTGGTTGCAAGTCAAGGACTATGTGTATTACAATTGTAAAGATGAGCAGAAATAATCTATTTCTCTATTTTGCTTACAAAAGGGTAGCATTAAACCTGAGGATAGGTCTACCATTGAAAACGCTAGCCCCCTTTTGGGTCTGTTCATTCTATAGTCTCTACTATTTAGACAAATTTATCCAATAAGAGCAATATGATCTAAAATGTATTTCCCTGATCCAAATCATTTGCTTTCATTGATATGGGGAAAGTGGGAGAAAGTCAAGAGACCTACTTCTTCCCTGTCCTTGTCATTCCCACAATGGCCTTTTGTTTCCACAGGTGTTATTTCTTTGTGGCTCTGCTTATCGCCCCACAGAGGAGATTGACCTGCGTAACATTGGATGGGGCAACATCTTCCAGCTGCCTTTTAAGCACATGCGAGATTATCGTCTGCGCTGCCTCCTCCTCTTCTTCATCTACAGTGGCTTTGAAGTGCTCTTCCTTTGCACTGGCTTTACTTTGGTATGTGTAAGCTTCTCAGATAGGAGGGACTGAGCGCGCAGTGAGGTCTGTAAGCTGATGCTTTCTTTCCTTATCTGTTACAGAACTATGGCGTCTGTTCTATCGGCCTGGAACACATGGCTTATATTCTCACTGCTTATGGAATCTCATCTGCTGTAGGCTCTACTCTGGTACTAACTATGCTGAGGCTGCCACGTCAAGTTCCCCTCCTTACTGGAGCTTCTATTCACACCATCATCTTGATTGCCCTCTTTTGCTGGGAGCCTAAAGCCAAAAATTTAGCTGAAGCACCCATAATCTACCTGGTTGCTGCTTTCTGGGGCCTTGGCAGTTCCCTCAACAAGACAGGGCTCAGCAGTAAGTAAATAATATTGCTTTGTGGTCACAGGTTCCTCTCCTGGAACAAACAGATCTTTGCTCCTGTTCTGCTCCAAACAAATGCCTGACCATGGTACTCGCTGGGATCTCTGTGCAGCATGAAGTACATCAAGCCTAGCTGAATAATAAAAGCAATTTCCTCGTATGATGTGATTAGTTGAATATTATGCTTTAAAAGCATAATATTAAGTTTTTGAACTGTTTCTCTCCCAAACATCTTCACTCTTCACTAACAGAGAAGGATAGATTGTTTGCACATTGGGGTGCTTTCTTGTTGGCCAGGTTCAACCCCCCTCCCTCCATCCTCTGTAACTTTCCAACCAGCTAGTGTTGGATTATTGATGGGAGTAAAAAAGAGAGAGAAAAGAAGAAAAAAGTCTCATGATTCTGATGATTCACCACGCCTTTTCTGTAGCACTTCTGGGGATGCTCTACGAAGACAAAGAACGACAGGACTTCATCTTCACCATCTATCATTGGTGGCAAGCCTGTGCCATGTTTGTTGTTTATTGCTGGACTGGAATGCCCATGAAGGTGAGTGAGGGAACCAGGCACAAAAGAGAATTCTATAGGTCTAAGGATAGAGCCAGTGGTGGGATTCAATTTTTTTTTAACTACCGGTTCTGTGGGCGTGGCAGGGGAAGGATACTGTAAAATCTCCAGTCAGAGGTGGGATTTGCCGGTTCTCCGAACTACTCAAAATTTCTGCTACCGGTTCTCCAGAACTGGTTCGAACCTGCGGAATATCACCCCTGGATAGAGCACACTATTTTATTCTTTGGTAAAATGCAGATAAGATATAAAGTGGGAAAGGAGGAGAATTTCTCCAGTCTAGTGTGAACCTGACCTGGGAAGGGTGAAGTAATGAGGAAAGCATTAAGGCGAAACTGACAGAAAAGATTACTCTGCTTGAGAAAGAGAAAAGCATTAGAAAGAAACTCAACTTTGCCTTGATTATAATTGCATTCCTTCACACTTGGCAATAAAAGAGGAAAAACACTAAAGCAAGGCAAGATATTTTGTGCAATGTTGAATCCTCTCTTCCTCCTAGACAAGGTTCAGGACAAAATAAAGGAGCAACTGAATTTTGCTGTTTGGTAACTAATAGGATGCAGTGGCTCAGTGGCTAAGACACTGAGCTTGTCAATCAAAAAGGTCAGCAGTTCGGCAGTTCGAATTCCTAGCACCGCGTAAGAGTGAGCTCCCGTTACTTGTCTCAGGTTCTTCCAACCTAGCAGTCGAAAGCATGTAAAAATGCAAGTAGAAAAATAGGGGCCACTTTGGTGGAAGGTAACAGCATTCTGTGCACCTTCGGCATTTAGTCATGCCAGCCGCGTGACCACGGAGATGTCTTCAGACAGCGTTGGCACTTTGGCTTTGTAACAGAGAGGAGCACTGCCCTCTAGAGCCGGAAACGACTAGCACATATGTGCGAGGGGAACCTTTACCTTTACCTAACTAATAGAGGCTTTTCCTTCCAGGCTAAATTATCCATCTTGCTTGTTACTTTGGTTGCTGCTGTGTTCTCCTATGTATGGATGGAACGTAAGATAGCCCAGAGTGTTCCCCATCGTCTCCCTAAGATTCCCAAGCCTCGCCACAAAGTGCGAGGTTACCGCTACCTGGAGGAAGACAACTCTGATGCATCTGATTCGGAGGAAGAAGAAAAAGAGGGTGAGCAGAGGGAGGCGGAGGCAGAAGCCAATGAACCTGATGGCCCACCACACTGCCCTCGGCGGAGGAGACAACATAACTATGGGGAGCCCTTTGAGGAAGACGTTGTGGATATCAGGGGGTAGTTCCTGCTTTGCTTTCACTGTAACCCTTACAATATGGGCCAAAGACTATGAATCTCAAGTGCCTTAGATTTCAACTTCCCACTACATCACTAACATTTTCTTCTTGGGATTGGTCCTGTAATGTTTTAAATTGGTCTTGGAAGGACTATGTGAATTATGTGCTTGGATTGCTTTCACGTTTAGTAAATCTGGGTCCGTGTTTTAGTCTGAAGAACGGATCATTTAAGTGCTTCTGAGCTTGGTTGTTTCCTCACAGATATTTCATTATCTAAACTAGGTAACATGATCAGTGTGGGAGTGAGATTTGCTCTCATTTTATATTCTAATGGCTTTGCCCTGTCACTATTGGTGGGAGTGGAGTTTGCTGGGTCATTTAAAATAGGTAATTTGTAATAAGTCAATTTTTTGGACTTCCTCCTGCTTTGTCCTTACTCTCTAACAATGGGAATTACTAGGTACTCAAAGACAAATTCCCTTGAAACAGCCTTAATGATTTTGAAAGATGGGTACTTTCAAAAGTTATTTATGATATACTTGGGAAGCAGGGAAGGAAGGAGGGGTATACTGATACCTAGCGGTACTTATAACACTTTGAAAGCAAAAAAAGGGAGAGGGATATACTGACCTCCCTTATAATTTAAATATACAATGATATATACAAAAATATATTAAATCCATTTCTAAGGTGACCATGTCCATAAGTACAATAAATAACAAGATAGAAATGTCAAGTAAACCATTTAATATTTACATTTAATCCTGGCAATTTAGTACTATCGTCGATATTGTAGATGGTCACATGACCGCACACCTTAGCAACAGTAGCTCTGGTAGTCCTGGTTACAGTCATAGGCAAACACCTCACGCTATTCCTGATCTGCTCTGGTCATCTGATTTCAACTTCCCCCCACCCACTACCTCTTCCCCATCCCTATCAGCCCCAGCTGACTTTGACCGTTTTCCTCCTGCTCCTGATGAGGCAGTTGCTGGCCCTTTGCAAGGCCTTTGTGAGTCCTCGGCAATGGTTTGCATGGCATCAGGGAGGCTTGCACAGTCTTGTGGAGGTCCAGTACCTGCTTTGGCTACGCATACTTTATCAGCAAGAGGAAGAAGGCATCAAAAATCAGCTGGGATAGTGGGGAGATGGCAGGGTATTTAAAAAGGCCAGAGATTGGAAGGGAATAGACCAGTGATGGCAAACCTTTTTTGTTGTGGTGTGCCAAAAGCGCGCGCATGCTGGCACCCACAATGCAATGTGCCCCGCCCCCTGTGCATGAATGCACAACACCCCTGCCCCACCCCCTTACCTACACTGCGCATGCCTCCCAGCTGATTTTCAGCCCATTTGAAGTCATTTTTGCCCTCAGAGGCTCGAGGGAAACCTCTGCAGCCTTGAGAGGCTGAAAATGGACCCATTTCAGCACTTCTGGTATTTTCGGAAGGCCCGTTTTTCAGCCTCCTGAGGCTGCAGAGGCTTCCCTTGAGCCTCCGGGGGGGGCAAAAACGGCCTCAAACAGGCCAAAAATCAGCTGGGAGGCACACGTATGTGCAGTGCAAGTAAGTTTGGTTGGGCCTCGTGTGCTCGCACAAATGGCTCTGCATGCCTCCTGTGGCACGCATGCCATAGGTTCGCCATCACAGGAATAGACAGTTGGGAGTTGAATGATATGCAATGGTTGTAAATGCAGCAGGCTCCCAAGCACCCAAATTTCAAGTATATGACTGCGGGGACACTGCAAAGGCTGTAAAATGGAGAGGCAGCTCCACTATAACTTCAGTCACTGAACAAATGATCATAAAGCAAAGACTTTCTGTAAAGGTTTCCTTTCCCTTGTGAAAAACATGACTGAGCATATCTTTTTTTAATACCTTGTAGAGACAAAATCAAGATAATTTAGAATTGGTGTCTTGTCTCTAAAGTCTATCTGAAGTTATCATCTTCCCTCCATCCAACCCTCCCCCAAATATAACATGAAATACATGTAAAAACTAATAAATGCATATATATGTAAAACCTCAAGAATCTCAGGATACCTAGGAATACTTAATTATTGCCAAAAATGGAAATATATTTAGCATTTTTAATTTTTATAATAAATTTTATGATGTTTTGAATAAAGGATATGCTGAGTCACAAACGCTTGAATCAAAGATGATGGAATCTGTCTGTAATGATGTACTAGTTCATTGCCAGAGGCTTAGCTTCTCTGACATCCAATGTTCATCCAGTAAAACCATATAGTAACTTATGCTGGGAAGGTTGTATCCACACTAGAGAAAGCAAATAGCTTTTTTGGTATGGCATATTCTTTGGAAATATTTTCTAATAGCATCATTTCTAAATTATGAGTGAAATTCCAATAATCTTATGATGCTAGAGAGTTGTTCTTTTTCTATGGACAAAGTATTTTATCCATAAAAGGAAGCAATGCCTTCTTCATACAGGGAAGGCCATTACCTTCACATCTATGCAAATTGTTTTTGGTCAAAACCACTATTCCACTAATAGTCACTGCTAGTATCTGTATAGCAGAATCTATATATTACTAAAACTCTTGTGCCTGTAATCCTTAACTGGGCGAAATGGTACATCATAGCAACAGTTTTTCAACCAAGTACCTCAGATGGACTACAAAATGTGGAATCCATGACCCACATGGAACTGAAATTTGGGGCAAATTTTATAAAATTATCATAAAACATATGACATAATAAAAAATGTCAAAAACACTTTCTGTGGTCAACTCCTGATATTTGACTGTGCTATACAGTTCAACATGGGCTAATTTCAAGATAGAGATCTCTGGATATCTCCTGGAATTTTTAAGAAGTTTTTAATGAACTTTTCAAGTGTATTAGAAACTCTATCAAACTTGAAGGTATTGAGGAATCTGATAAGAAAATATTTCTAAAATTGACCCAACCCAATAGGTCACAGATCATCTACTCACAACTAAAAACACACACAGTCTACATAGCAGAAATATTAATTACAGGCACATCACAAGAGAGCTGGGAAATTAATATAAGACTACACTAATTATAACAAGCCATGTGGGGACAAAATCCTGGCACATAGAAATGTTACATTGTCTTTTAGCAATATTTTCTAAAGCCCCTAACAACACTGTTAACTGTAAATACTATAGGGCATGCTCAAAAACAATGTTTGCAGTTTCAGTGTGCTTAGGTGAGAAGACATACTTCCTTTCTCAGTGAAGATTTTAAAGGCAGTTTTTTTTTCAAAGGTCAGATAAAATGACAATATCTCCCTGAAAATAATTATTTAAAAACATCCCATCTTTATGACTTCCTAAGTAACTAAAAGCAGCGAACATACTAATACTCCTTTCTCTATTTTCTCCACAACAGCACTAGGTTGGGCAGCGAAAGTGACTGGCTTAAAGCATCCATGACATATTACAACAAAGTCCCGATGTAAATAACCCCCCCCCCTTTTTTTTTTTTTTACTAAATAAACGAAGCTTTGATTCGATCAATGGATTGGGGAACTTTCCAAATTTAACTGGCAATGGAGCATTGTACATAGAAATAGTTTAAAGGGGATACTGTTTTGCATCATAAATGACAGACATTTCCAACTCAGCCAAGCAACTTTAGATTGGAATCTCCTTCTGAAACGTTTTCATTGGGAGTATGGCAACTTTCCCGCTTGTTACAGAATAGCAACAAGAAATGCTTCCTCTGCGGGTTTCTAAGTGTTATGTCGGGTTTTTTTTGTTTGTTTTTGTGCGTAGAAAAAAATCCGGTTTAGTTTGTAGAAACAACTGTAAGGCACACTGTTTTTCTCCCTTCCAAAAAACAACAACCGCTCTTTAAGCCCCCAAAATAAACCGAAACAAAACAACCCTTAAACACATCTTGCTATCAGTCCTCTCATCCACGTGTCCCCTTCTCAGGTTGTCGGGAAACGGAGTCCTTCTTCCTTCCCAGGGACTACATCCTCCGTCATGCACTGCACGGACACTGCGCAGACTGTGACGTCAGAGGACAAGCCGCTTCGTAAAGGCCTCTGGGGATCGGAGTCCCAGAAAGCCCGGCGTTCGCTGCTATTCGGATCAGGGGCGGACTCCATTTCCCAGCAGGCTTAGCCGAGCGGAGCTGCGGACGCGAGAGTGAGTGGACGGTGCGGGGGCTCAGCCGTCACGTGCAGTACGAGGTGCGTGTGCCGTTGATGCTGGAGGAGGAGACGACGGAGACGCCGACGACGGAGAAGGAAGAGGCTGAAGCTGCTCCGCGCGGGGGCTTGTTGTTGTTGCGGCAGCGGCGGCGGCGGCTTTCCGCGGCTCGGCCCGCAACGCTTCCCTGGAAGACCTCCCCCGAACGGCTCGGCCGGCTACGACGATGAGCGACAACGATGACATCGAGGTGGAGAGCGACGTGAGTGCCTCGCTGGTCTCCCGCATCCCCCCCCCTCTTTTTTCCCCTCTTCCTTCCCCGACTGCGTCCGGGTTCTCTTCCCCTTCCTTCTCTCGGTCGCTCTGGCGGAGATTGCCAGGCGGCGGCGGGCGCGACTTGGCTGAGCGGCGCTGACAGTAACGCCTGCCTCTCTCCTGTCTCTCATCTCTCTCTTATTGCAGGAAGAGCAGCCGAGGTTTCAGTCTGCGGTACGTCTCTCCTCTGCCTTTCATTCGCTTAATTCCCCCCTTCATTCCCGGACACTTCCCCCCCCCCCCAGCAGAGAGCGCGGCCCGGCAGTCAGAGCCTTAACCGGGGTGAGGGGGTGGGCAGCATACAGGAACTGGCAGAAGGGAAGAGGAAGAGGGAGGTAGCCTGGCCGTGTGCCCCCCTCGGAGCCTGGCTCGAGAGGCTGAGGCATGCGAGAGGCGTTGTAGGGACTGAGAGGTGTCTGGTGAGCAGGGGAAGGCCGGGCGTTTCTCCTTGTATTGGAGGAAAACTTTTTACAGGCCGGTCTGCCTAGTGGTCGGTGGCAGAGGGAAAAGATTAGGAGGGCAGGGCCTGTCACCGTGGCTGTCTTCGGAGCCGGATGAGTTAGGCTGGAGCAAAAGGCCTGAGAATGGAAAATTGCTTGTGTTTCTATGGGAACTTTGCAGAACAGGTCAAGAGCCTAATTCGGAACAGGTCAGGTGGGGTAACTACAGGTAGTCCTCGACTTACAATGGTTTGTTTAGTGGCGGGTTACGATGGCACTGAAAAAAAATGACCCGGGGCCGTTTTTCACACTCACACGACGTCTGTGGCATCCTCATGGTCATACGATCAAAATTCAGATGCTTGGCAACTGGTTCATATTTATGACGGTGTTGCAGTGTCCTGAGATCATTGTGATTGACTTTGGGGACCTTCTGACAAGCAAAGTCAATGGGAAATCCAAATTTGCTTAACAACCCTGTTACTGACTTCACAAATGCAGTGATTCGCTTAATACCAGGTCAGACTGAATGAGGCTTACTGCTTACCAACATCAGCAGAAAGCCAGGCTGGTTATTTTGAAAGGAGGAACTGTTGATACTATAGACCAGGGTTGTCAAACTGGATTTCTTTGAGGGCTGGATCAGCATTGTAGTTGTCCGCAGGCCAGCCAGGGGTGGTGGGAGACGGGCAGACACCTCCTGCAGCATCCTGCCAGCCAAAACGGGGCATGGGGTGGGGGCTTGTGTGGCTTCTCCGTGCCTCATTTTGGCTGCCAGAGGCACCGTGGGCTGGTCCTTTGCTATTTCTGGCCGGCCTTGTGGGCCAGATTTAAGAAACCTGTGGGCCAAATTCAGCCCACGGGCCTTGAGTTTGACATCCCTGCTATAGGAAACAGGAGGGAGATTGGCAGGTTAGTGCTATGGCAGAGAAATGGCCCGTGGAACAATGATTAAACATAATACATTATATTGGTATTAAATGTCAGCTGAATATGTTTCAGAGTGGCAAAGCACTCTCTAAATTACAGTGGCATCTAGTTTGAGAGATTTTATGTCTGTAGTGTCTCAACAATTACCCCTGTAGGCTGTGGAAGAACACTTTCTTCCTCCTGTTGTCAGAATTTAAGGAGTGAGAAAATGGGATTACTCTTATGTCGGGGTTAAGATTATTTTTTAAAAGCTGTGCACCACATAAATTTTCCTTAAGTTAGCTCCTTGTAACTTGAGATGTTGGATAATATCTATAAAATATTCATGATTTACATGTAGAAAAAATAATTGTTTGTACCACTGATTCTAATAATGAATTGCAGAATCAAAAGATACTCTTTCTTGAAATCTGCATTGTAATACACAACATCTTACT